GGAAGGGAGGAGGAAGGAAGGAAAGGAGGGAAGAAGGGAGGAAGGAAAGAAGGAAGGAAGGAAGGAAGGAAGGAAGGAAGGAAGGAAGGAAGGAAGCAAGCAAGCAAGCAAGCAAGCAAGCAAGCATTTACTAATTGCCTACTGGGTAACTGAAAGTAAAATGTAATGAGTTTTAAAGTCGTTTCTCAATGCCTGGCCAATTCCCTAGGACTGCAGGTTGTGTGGCCAGTCTTCAGGATCAACCTCATGTGGGTGCTGTGAGGATCTAATGAGTACCTACAGCTAATACAGATGTATCACATGCACACACAATACATACATGCACACATACACAGACACATGAAAAAGAATGAGGGGTAGCAGATAGAGGGCTGGCTCATCCTGGGAAAATCTTTTGGCCTCTCTGCCCTAGGTCATCACCCAAGATGATCCATGTGGCAGGGCTCACCTGCATTGGTGGAGAGAGCTTCCTTGCCTGGAAGTTCCTTATACATCAAAACCACAGGTCCCAGTCCTTAGGTATGTATAATATGTGCGCTATTGAAATTCCAGCATTTTAACAGGGCAAAAGGAAGAAGGAAGGACCTTGAGGCAGGGGTGGGGGGTCAGTTCAGAAGACCCCTCATACTCCCTTTTCACATCTGACAAATCTCCTCAGACTTGTCACCCTGGCCCAGCCCCATTTGCTCTTCCCCTGGAAATCCCGTAATCCCACATTTATGAAACACATGCCGAGAGGAGGCAGCAGGGTGGGACAGCTCTGCTGGGTCGGGGTAAAAAGAGAGGGTGTTGAGATGGTATCTCGAAGGGCCTCAGCACGGCAGGGAAGGAGGACCTGGAGGAGGAATGAAGGTTGCCCCTGGGCTCTGGGTCATGGCTGACAGGCTGATGGAACCTGCTAAAGGATCGCAAAGGAATGTTAGAGTTTGTTCATAGAGGGCAACAGGACCTCATTTACCCCATCGCTTGATTTCTGTGACTCAAATCCTACGTGAAAGGAGGCAGGGTTAGATCCATCTTTTGGTGAATTTTTAAAAAATAGCAATGAGAGCAGGGACTTGCATACAGTAGGTGCTTAATAAATGTGAATTAAATTGCCCTGAAATAAAACCCCCAGTCTGTTGGATTTGGGGGCAGAGGACCTGGGCTCACATCCTATCTTGGCTTTTTACTCTGTGTGGGACCTTGGGTAGCTCACTCTCAGTCCCCAGCCCCAGTTTGTTTATCTGTTAAATGAAAGCATTGGATTAGATGGCTTTTAAGTCTCTTCCAGCTGTAAATGTAAAAGTGCAGCAAGGAAGCCCACAATGATCCACCTCTCCCTGACAAGAATCACTCAGATGTGTCTCCTGCTCAACTTTCCCCATGGGGGGGTGGAGTAGGGAGAGAGACAGAGAGAAAGAGACAGAGAGAGAGAGAATCTGGGATTCTGTAGTTTTGGAACAAATATTTCTTGTTTTTGGTTTTCTTAGCATTTATTTGTGGAAGACTTCTGCATGATAAGGTGGAAAAAGTCCTACGTTAGAGCCAAAGAAAGGACTTGGGTTCCGAGTGTAGTTTTTGTGACCCTGGGCAAATTGAGAGGAAAGGAAAGGAAGAGAGTGGACAGCAGAGGCTAGAGAGGACAGGAGAGGAGAAGAAAGAAAAATGGGAAATAGGAAAGAAAGAAAGAAAGAAAGAAAGAAAGAAAGAAAGAAAGAGAGGAGAGAATGGAGAAAGAAGGCAACAAAGGAAAACACCAGTTTTGAGTGCTCTCCAATTCACTTTTCAGTGCCCCCTCTAGCATCCTCACCCTCTTCCTTCCTTCCTTCCTTCCTTCCTTCCTTCCTTCCTTCCTTCCTTCCTTCCTTCCTTCCTCTTTTCCTTCCTTCCTTTCTCTTTTCCTTCCTTCCTTTCTCTTTTCCTTCCTTCCTTTCCCTTTTCCTTCCTTCCTCCTTTCCTCCCTCCCCCCACTTTTTTCTCACAGTACAGTCATTCTCCTCAAAGTTCCCCCACTTGTCTATTCTCCTCAGGAAATACCCTATGCTCTGAAAAATAATAATAATAAACACCCATGTGGGGCTTTAAGAATTGCAAAGCACTTCACATATGTTCTCTCATTAGCTCCTCACAACAGCTCTGTGAATTAGGTAGGTGCTATCATTATTCTCATTTTAAAGATAAGGAAACTGAGACAAGTAACTCAACCAGGTTCACATAGCTAGTGAGTGTCTGAGGCAGAATTCTAACCCAGGTCTTACTGACTCCACAGATGATGTTCTATCACCCCACCCCTCCCCCCACCAAGTCCTGCTGCCTCTGCCCCTTCACCTTCTGCCCAACGACAACTTCTGCTCACCCTGAGTCCAGTTCCATAGAGGCCTAGTCAGCAGCTTGCTTTCAGAAAGAATGCAAAGTACTCCCCACAGCCAACAGTTTTGTGCTCCCCTTGTGTGGCTATCTACATTTAAGCAGGAGCAATGCTCCAAAGAATGGTGCTCCAGTAATGGGGGAATTCCAGGCTCAAAGACAGGCTGAAATTTTCAGAGAAGGATGGAGTGAGGAACTAGGTTGAGCCTCAGTTTCCATTTCTGTAAATTGAGTGGGAGGGACCACATGGCCTTGATTTGTCTAGGTTTCATGGGGATGGAAACCGTGGTCTTCAGCTCTGAGACACTCCTCCAAATCTCTCCCATTCTTCTCAAGGCCCATCATTCCCCCATCTTGCTTTCCCACTTTAGAGACCAGCTGGGCCATCTGGCAACAATTCCCCAAGCTTCCCTGCTCAGCATGTCTGTGTAGCTACACCAGCCCTGGAATTCTTCCTTCATCCCTCAGAGGAAGAGGCACTCTCCCTCTTTGGCAAGCCAACCTCTCCACTTGTGTCCTTGATGCCACCAGCCACCGCCCCCCTTGCCCACCTCCTCTTGGTGTCTATCACTCTTCCCTCTCCTCCTGTGTGTTCACTCTGTCCCTTTCCACTGGCTCCTTCCCTTCTATCTACAGACATGCTCAGATTTTAAATCTACCCTAAAAAAAAAGGCTTCCACATACCCTTGTTTGTCCATTAGAAGCACCTTGACTTAGTAGATAGAAACTTAGACTTGAGGATCAGGAAGACCCAAATTCAAATCCCTCCTCAGACTAGAGCTCTTGGCCTGGGGAAATGCAAACTTTAAAAAAACAATTGAGGGGGCAGCTAGGTGGCGCAGTGGATAGAGCACTGGCCCTGAAGTCAGGAGGACCTGAGTTCAAATCCGGCCTCTGACCAAACACTTGACACTTACTAGCTGTGTGACCCTGGGCAAATCACTTAATCCCAATTGCCTAAAAGCAAAAAAAAAAAAATTTGATAACTGTATTTAGACACAATTGATTTCATTTGTATTTGTGTATTTTATTTTACATATTTAAAAACATTATTCTGAGAAAGAGTCCATGGGTTTCACCAGACTGCTGAAGGGTCCAGAACACAGAAAAGGTGGAGAACTCTTTCTCCAGAGCCATATATTGCAACTGCATGAGTTTATTTTTGAGCAAAGGGTAATGGGGGAAAGCCCACTGAATTTGGGGTAAAAAATAGACATTAGTTCAAACCCGGGCTCTGATATACTCCTAATCTATAAATGGGGAAGGGGATGAACTAGAAGATCACTCTGTCCCATCCAGCTCAAAATCTGGTGATTTCCTGTCAGTCCTGCCTTTGTTCTGTGGCTCACAGCCTTCCCTGCCCAGTTCTGCCTACACCTAACCATCCTTCAGAGTCCAACCCTAGGGCTGCCTCCTCCCAGAAGCCTTTCATGATGCCTTTACTCTCTCCTCAAATTGTCCTACACTCACTTGTCTCAAAAGCACTTTAGTACAGGACTTCCTCCTCAATGTCCTAGGTCTGCGTGAGTATCAGGAAGAGATGTGGGGGAGAACAGGGCCACTTCAGGCTCTTCTGGCTTCCAACTTTGTGAGAGAAGATTTGCAATGCCAACCTCTCTTCAGGTCACCCAAGGGAAAGAAAGACTCTGCAAAGAAGTCAACACAAGAGGAGCTGGCCTTCTCCACCATGTCCCTATCCAGATTGCTACACTAGAGACTTAGAGATCTGGCACTCTCTTTCTCTTGTCTGTGTGGGTGGGTGGGTGGGTGTCTGTCTGTCTGTCTGTCTGTCTGTCTGTCTCTCTCTCTCTCTCTCTGACTTACCTTGCTCTCAAAAGGAGAACTTTCATCTGTATTTGCCAGGCACACGTTCTCCTGTGTCTACTTTCTCTGACTCCTATTACTCTTTTGACTTGAATAAATGGGTTTCTTTGCAATTTGCTATGTGTGTTCACTGTAGAGCTGGTATTTGGTGAGAAGGGAGCCAAGCCTTGAATTTATACTCAAGCTTAGGGTCCTCCTTTTCCCTTTAAGAAATAGCAATCAAAGGGGGCAGTGAGGTGGTGCAGTGGATAGAACACTAGCCCTGGAGTCAGGAGGACCTGAGTTCAAATCTGACCTCAGACACATAACACTCACTAGCTGTGTGACCCTGGGCAAATCACTTCACCCCATTGCCTAGCCAAAAAAAAGAAGAAGAAGAAGAAGAAGAAGAAGAAATAGCAATCAGGAGCTGAGTTTAAACCTTAGTCACTTCCCCTAGACTAACCATATTTAAGGAAGCAGATAGACATAACTCTAGCCCATACCTTCTTTCTCTGAGGACAGCAGAGCAGTCTCGCTGCAACGTTTTGCTTCCCCTCCTGGCAGGAATTAAAAGATGGGGGAAGATGCTATTCTGGCCTCCCTGTGGACCAGTTACAACACTCCACATTACCCATACTGTAACCTCAGTGCAGTAAAAGCTCTTGAGGGGAAGGGCCTATTTTTTCTTAGCTATATAAACCTCAGCACCCAGTGCCCAGCCTTCCCCAGAACAAAAACGTTCATACGTGTTTTTGGAATGGAATAGAATCAGAAATTAGACTCCAAAGGACCCTGGGGGCCGCTCATTCTTGCTGCCCTTCCCCCAGGAAGTCAGAAAACACTGCTGTCATCCAAAAGCCTTTTATTAAGCATCTCCTTTTGTTCAGTGCTGTCCAGAGAGGCAGAGAGACCCTGCCAGGAGCGCTGCTGCCTGGGACTTAAAACCCAGCATCTGGTTCAGACACAGGGACACCCCTGTGGGTCACAGAATTGTGGTCAGCTTGAAGAACTGGAGCGAGCCTCTACGAGTGAGCATGACAAGGATCACACCTGTTTGACGAGGCCCCCTGAACTCCCATCTGGCCAAGTCAAGAGTATTCCAAAGGATAAAAGGGAGTGAGACCCCCTCCCCCACTTGCTTTTTAAGTTAGCTGTTGTTCACTTACTCCAAAATCCTCCTTCTCCCTCTTATCAAGAAATCGAATCAACAAGCCTTTATTAAGTTCCTACGTGCCAAGCACTGTGCCAACCAAGTTCCCACTCATGCACAGATCCATAGACCGTACATCTTATCAGAGAAGAACGAACTATGGCCAAGTAGTCCTAAGAGGGTGGGTGGCCAGGGGAGCCAGAAAGAGATATCAGGTCCCCAGCCCAAGCCCAGGAGTGTAGAGTATGGGGGGAGGCAGCATGGGGAGGTGAAAGGAAGGAGCAGAGGAAGCAGAATGAGGAAGGGGAAGCAGGAACAGGAAGATGGAGAAAGAGGAGGAGAGAGAGAGGACAGGATGAAAGAAGAGGAAAGGGGAGAGGGAGTGAGAGGGGAGGCAAGCTTCTTGAGCCTAAGGATGGTTTAATTCTTCATATCTTCAGCTCTCAGAACAGTGCCTGGCACACAGTAGGTGCTTAATGATAAATACTTCTTGACTTGATGGTTCATACTCCCAAACCTCTCACAGGGCCTGGCACAACCACAGCAGGCCCTTCATGAATGCTTGCTGACCAGCTGATCGGCCGCTCGTCATGTATGTTACAGGGGGATTCTGAGACCTCTGAGGTCCCTTCCGACCCTGATATCTGTGATTCTGAGAAGGCAAGAAATGGGCAGGGAGGGAGAGAAGTGATGGTGCGAGAGGAGGAGGACAGAAATCAGGGGTTCTATTTGACTCCACAGACAGGAAGGAAGGAACTGATGACAAGGGAGGAAAAGCTGAAGGGAGAGTTCGAGAGAGGAGGTGAGGACAGAGACAAGCACTGGGGAGGATGTGGGAGAAGGGGCTTCTTTCTCACATTTGGTTTGGGCTGCACGACCACCAGGGTCCCTTCCAACTTCGAGATCCTGGGATTGTAAAAGCAGCAAAAAGGTGAAGGGGGGGTGGGGAAGAGAGATGGCCAGGGAGCCCCAGAAGGCAAAGCCAGAAGAGAAAAGCAGAGTCCACAGCCTGGGTCTTGACAATCTCTCAAGGAGGCCACATCTTCCTCCCCATCCCCAGGCTCTCCCTCCTGCACTCTCTTACTCTGTTTCAAAAGAAAAGAGGACCTCATTCTATCACCCTCTCCATCCTGGCAGGTTTGGCTCATGCTCCAGAAAACATCATGGTAGACACACACATACATACACACACAGAAGCACCTACACACACACACACACACACACACACACACACACACCCCTAGATAAGCCACTTTGACCACTTAAACTCCACTTTGTTCTAAAAATCTGAGTGACCCAAAGGGGGAGTGCTAGAGATGTCAGGAGAGAGGAACCCTTCAGTGCCTGGGTGTCCTGAGGTGAGGGACCACCCTCCCACTGCTTCACGTCTGCCCGTTCATCAAGCCTGAGGCAGCTCCCACTCCCTGGATGAGCTGGGGCCGGGTTTTGGCATCAGAGGGGCTGGACAGTGGTTAAGAGAGGCGTGGGGACCCAGGATTCTGCACCTCCTGGGGGCATCTCCAGAGGCAGGTGGGCCAGCCATTAGCTTAACGGTCTCACCAGCTTCATGGCAGCATAATTCTGGAAGGAGAGAGGGAAGGGCAAGAAACAGGGAGACATGGTTAGTGAGCCTCAGCGCCAGCTGGAACCTTCATCACTTTGGATAAATCACTAAACCTCTGGGGTCTCAGTTTTCTGTAAGTATCAAATGAGAAGGCTGCACTAGGTACCCTGAGCCCCTTCCAGCCCAGAGCCAGGATCCTCAAACAAGACCAATGAGAATGCTGCTCTACAGGGCTGTGGAAGCAAAGGAGAAGTCAGATTTGAGTCTGGAATTGACTTTGGAGGTTGTCCCCTGACCAGAGATGAGGAAGGAGAAGGAGTGACCTTTCCTGCTCCCTCTTGGACATAGGGAATCTTCATTTCAGAACTTCTATTTGCCCCTACCTCACATAAGCCTTATAGGGGCATTGATTTAGAGCTGGAATGGACCCATTTTACAGATGTGGAAACTGAAGTCCAGACTGTCCCAAGGTCACACAACTAAGTCTGCAGCAGGATTTGAACTCGGGTACTCCTTCCAAGCCTAACAACCCTAACTGTACTTTATTTTACAAGAATTGTACCCCCTACCTAAGATTCTAAACTTGCCACCCCCATCACCAACTTCATCTCCCTGCCCCATTTCTCCCCTGAAAAGGAACAGTCCTTATATCTAGCTCTTCCCTTTTCCCCTCTGCCCCATCACCAGCTAATCCTTGTTTTCATTTCCAAAATGTGGTCAAAAGCCTCTTCCTCCAAGAAGTCTTCCTTGATTAACCCAGTAATACTTGGTGCTTACAGGATATATCTTAATCTCTACTTACTCTTTTTTTTTTTTTTGGTTAGGCAATTGGAGTTAAGTGACTTGCCCAGGGTCACACAGCTAGTAAGTGTCAAGTGTTTGGTCTGAGGCCACATTTGAACTCAGGTCCTCCTGACTTCAGGGCCAATGCTGTATTCACTGCACCACCTAGCTGCCCCTACTTATTCTTTTTGTTTGTTTGTTTCTGTTTCTTAGATCTTTTTTAAAAAATACGTCTCGAGTCTTCTGCATTAGGCTAAGACCTCCCCAGGACAAAAACTATGTCTCCTCATCACAGCAAGAGTTCCCTAAGGGCAGGGACCTCTTTCTTCCTCTCATTCCATGGGTCTCCCCCTACCCAGTCTGCCCACAATGGGAGACAATTCAGGGCAGAGGAACCTTGAAAGCTCAGCCATCCCCACTCTCTGCCCTGGGAGTTGGAAAGGAAAGGACCATCCATCTACTTCCATCCCTGGAAACCCGGTGTGGGCTCAGCTTCAAAGGCTAGGGGAGAAGGGGGGCAGATGACTTCCTGGATGGAAGCCTCACTGTCCTGGGGCCAGCCCCAGAGAAGGCAATCACAAATGGCAATGCCCTTGATTAGCACAGGCCTTCCAGCCTGGCGAGGATCCCCTGCTCCATCCCTCCTGCCCGCCTCTCCCACCTCCCCCCACCCCTGCACTCAGGGGCCTCTAATTGGGACAGGATGTTCTCTGAGGCTGTCCCAGGGAAAGCCAGCTCTGGAATCAAACCGGTTCCTTGGCCAAGCCTCCACCCCCCTGCCATGGTCCCTCCTCGAGCTGGTGGGGATGAGGTGGGGGGGGGGGCGTGCAAATGATGAGTGGAATCCAACCAGACTGCCTGGAGCTGTCGATTTTCCCCAGCTCTGTTCCCTTCAGAGTGAGGTTTCCCAACTGGGTCAGGGCCCAGGCTGGCTGGAGCCAGTAGGGGAAGAGGCCTTAGGGGAGAGGGGTAAAATCCCCTGAACCTGAGACTTGGGTTCAAATCCTGGCTCTGCCACCAACCTGCTGCTGCGTGACTGCTCTTGGCCAAGACTCCCTTCCCCTCCGTGGGTCCCAGTAAAATTAGGGGAGTTGAACTCTGCCCTCCAAAGCGGATTTCAGTTCTGAGATGTCCCTGTCCCTATGAGCTAAAGGGCCCCCTCTTCCTTCCCAGTTCATAAGGAGCTCCCTGGTGCCTGAACTCCCACAAGGCCCATAGGGCACCACGGGGTGGGGCACACACCCACCTCTGGGCCTGTCTCCCCTCTGGGCTCTAACTCTGCTCTTCCTAAGCAATGATTCCCAGCTCTCCCCACGGCACCCAGGGCACCCCAGGGGCTGCCGATGGGCAGGGGCTCTGTCTTCCCCAGCCTCCCTCCCTTGACTCCCCCTACCCCCACCCCATCTCCCACCAGCTCAGGGCTCCTTCCTTCCCCTCCACCCCTCCCCAAGCCTCTCAGGATGAAGGAGGCTCTGGTTTGCAGTGGTTTGTGTCCGTAATCCCACCCCACTCCCCAGCTCCTTACCGGGAAAGCGTAGATGAAGATTCCTAGGAAGAGGATCAGGATGAAGAAGACGAAGACAATGATAATAAAGCACCGGAACCTTCGCCAGACAATGTATTTCACCGTCTTGTACGGGGATGTGAACCAGAGGAAGGATGTGTCTGGACGCCTGTGACAATGGGGAAGGCCAAGGTCAGAGGGGTGAGTCAAACCACTGCCCCGAGGGAGCAAAGGACCAGGGCCAGATGGGGGAGGGCCGGGGGGGTACAAATCTTGGGGCTCTGACCCTCTGCTGACTCCTGCCCTGCACCCAAGCACCCCCAAAATGCACACAATGGAGCCGAGGTTTAAATGCAGATAAATCTCTTACTTCGGTTCCTCAAGCTTGGGGTTCATGTTGGGTTCATCACGGCCCAGTCCAGCAGGCCGCTCTTCATGTTCTGACTCAGGAACGATTTCCAAGGTCATTTCCAACTTGCCCTGTGGAGACAGAGGGAATCTGGTTAAGGCTGAGGAGGCATCCGTTTGACCACACCAGGAGAGACTAGAGAGTGAGCTGACTAGAGAAAAAATGGTGAGGGACTAGGTGGGAAGCTGAGCGGCCTCATGAAAAGAGCCCTGGCTGTGGGAATCAGAAAGACCTGGTTCAGAGGCCTCATTTCTGCCATTCACTAGCTGTGAGACCTCAGGCAAGTCACTTGAGGAGTTTGAACTGTCTAGCCCTGATAGTCTATGAGTCTTCATGACTTTTCCAAGAGGGCGAAGCTTCCTGGTAGAGCTGAAAGGCCTTTTTTTGTTTCTTTTGTTTTGTTTTTTAGGCAGTTGGGGTTAAGTGACTTGCCCAGGGTCACACAGCTAGTAAGTGTCAAGTGTTTGGTCTGAGGCCAGATTTGAACTCAGGTCATCCTGACTTTAGGGCCAGTACTCTATCCATCGCGCCACATACCTGCCCCCTGAAAAGCCTTTTAACCATCAAATGTTGGAGACTGTAGAATACAAAACATCTAAACCGGAAACTACTACAGAACAAAAAACATGGAAGACACACAGAACCTCAAAACAGAGAACATCAGAGCTGAGAGAGCCAAAAACAAAATATCAGAACTGGAGAAATTCTGGGCCCAACAATGGACTTCAAGGTCAGAGCCAGAAGGGGTCTTAGAGAGACCTGCAAGGGACCTTCGAGACCATTGTATAGGATGACAGAGCAAATGCCTCAAAAGTCCCTTCAGATCACCCAGCCCAACTCCCTCATTTTACAGATGAGAGGTCCAAGGAAGTTAAAGGGATATAGCCGGATTTTAAGCAGCAAGACTGGAACCCTGGTCTTTTGACTCCAATCGTAGCAGTTTCCTCACCATAAGACTGGAACCCTGGTCTTTTGACTCCAATCGTAGCAGTTTCCTCACCATATTACACTCAGCTTAAGCCCACTGCTGCATAGTTTAAGAAAAAAACCATAAGATTCAATACCTACTATGTGCTAGGAATTGTGCTGGGTGCTTCTGACTCAAAAACAAACAAACCAAAAAAATCAGTGCTTTTTCTCAAGGCGTTTCTATTTCACTAGTAATTGGGGGGGGTGGGGTGGGGAAGGCAGGTAGCAACCTGGTAAGCTCCTTCAGACTGGGGATTCATCTTAGCTAAACCTTGGGGCTCCATCAGCCCCTATTACTTGGAACACAGTAAGCGCTTAATTACTGTTTGCTGTGCTGGCCTGCCCCGTGTCTGTGGCCTTCTCACCTTGACACTTCCCTCAGCCCCTGCAGCCCCCTTCTTCTATCGATAAGCTTCTCCCGGGGCCTTTGAGGAGGGGCTCAGGCTGGGTACACCTCCTCCCCACCCTGCCTCCCTTTGCAGCTCCCTTTAATGTGTTGGGAGGAGAGAATTAGAACATAAGCTTCTTGAGGGCAGGGACTGTCTTTCTTTTTTCTTGAATTGGTATCTCCAGCACGTGGCACAATGCTGGGCACCCAGTAAGCACTAGATAAAAGCTTCTTGACAAACTGTCTGACTGACATGGGCGCTGGGGCTCCATGTGTGCCTGGGCACGCGGAGAGGCGGTGGGAGGATGGCCGTGTTAATGGGCGTTTCTCCCTGATGCCACCCTTGCCAACCCAGCAAAAGGCAGTGAAGACTCACCGCAAGTATCCTCTTCTCTCCCAGCTCAGCCACGCATGGCCACCAGCCCTTGACTGACTTCTGCTCAAAAAGGGACACAAAGTGTTCTGGGTGGAAGACGTCGTCCAGCTGGTTCAGGGAGCACTTCTCAGCGGTCTTGGCTGGCTTGGGCATCCGGTGGAGATCCAGCTGAATTGAACCTGGTACAGGGATACAGGCTTCATTATTCCAGGGCCTCCCTAAGGGGCAGGGATACAGTGGGACATTGATGAAGTGAAGGAAGGAGGAGAGGAAGGAAAGAAAGGAGGAAGGCTGGAAGAGAGAGAGGGTGGGATAAAGGGAGGAGGAGGAAGGGAGGGAGGGAGGAAGGAAAGAAGAGAGAGAGAGAGAGAGAGAAGGAGGGAGGGAGGGAGGAAGGAAGGAAGAGAGAGAGGGTGGGAGGGAGGGAAGGAGGAGGAGGAAGGAAGGAAGGAGGGAAGAAGTTGCTTCTCCAGTTAACCCTCTTCTGGTCTGGTCATCCATCCACCTACATCTCCTACCCCCATTCCATAACTCTTTCTCTACATGCCTTTCTATCCATCCACTTATCCACAATGATCTCACAGACCAGGAGGTAGAAAGGTGCTCAGAGACCATCTTACCCAACCCCTTCATTTTACAGATGAGGAAACTGAGGCCCAGAAAGGTTAAGGAATTTGCCTAAAACCATATAGCCAATAAGCAACAAGAGGCAGAATTTGAACTCATCAGAGCCTGCGCTGTATCCACTGGGCCATGCTGCCTCATATACCTGTCTACTTAGCATCCATCCATCCCTCCATCTATCCTTCCATCCCTCCCTCCCTCCATCCGTCCATCTATCCTTCCATCCCTCCATCCATCCATCCCTCCCTCCATCCATCCATCCATCTATCCTTTCATCTACTCATACTTCCACTATCTACTTACAGTGTACTTATCTACCCACCTCTTGATCCAGTCAATGACCATTTATTAAGTGTCTACTATGTTTCAGGCACAGGGCTAAGTATTGGGGATACAAAAAGAGGCAAAAGAGAGTCCCCGGCCTCAAGGAGCTTACAGCCCAGTGGGGGAGACAATAAGCAACAAATATGTGCAAACAAGCTACGTATGGTATAAACAGGAAAAAAAAAAAAGAAGGAAGGCACTAGGATTAATAAGGTGATTGGGAAAGATCCATCTCTGCCTCCATTTACCTACTTAATTAGGAGGAATGATGAGAACTGTGGAGGGAAGTGACTGCTCCCTCCTAGAATCAGTGATGGAGAAGGAGAAGAAATCTGGCCACATGCAGCCTGACACATGTCCTATATTTGGAGAAAGCAGATTGCAAAGAGTGCAAAGCCAAGCCAGGTGGGACCTCATGGAAGACAGGAGTTCCTAACTTTGTGTATTTGTGTGTCATGGATCCTTTTGGCAGTCTGGTGAAGCCTATGGACCCTTTCTCAAATAATGTTTTTAAGTGTGTGAAATAAAACACAGAGAATTACAAAGGAAATCAATTATATTGAAATACAGTCACACACATATATTATATATATATATATTTTATGTACATATACACCCACAACCTAGGTTTGATGGAGAGTAATTATTGTTGTTGTTGTTCAGTTGTTTTTCAGTCATGTCTGACTCTTGTGGCCCCATTTGCCCAGGATCACACAGCTAGTAAGTATCTGAAGCTGGATTTGAACTCAGGTCTGACTTCAGGTCCAAAGTTCTACCCATTGTTCTCCCTAGCTGCCAAAGGATTGCAGATGTACGAAGGTACAAAAAGCAACAAAAGATCAGCTGACAAACCTGTCTGATTGGCATGGCATGCCCAGCAGCCCTGCCCCTCCAGCTCCTAAAAGTCCTATCCAGACCGTGAGAGTAAACAGACATATCTATGAAGAAGAAGGAGGAGGAGGAGGAGGAGGAAGGGAGAAAAGAGCAGGAAGAGGAGGAGGAAGGGGAAAAAGAGCAGGAGGAGGAGGAAGAAAGGGAGGAGGAAGAGGAAGAAGAGGAAGAGGAGGAGGAAGGAAGAGGTGGAGGAAGAGGAGGAGGAAGAGGAGGAAGAAGAAAGAGAGGAGAAAGGAGCTTAGCTCTTTAAAGTTTGCAAAGTGCTTTATGTGTTCACTCAAGCCTTATAACACACCTGACATGTAAGCACTACAGGCATTATTGTTCCCATCTCACAGATGAGGAAACTGAGGTTCAGAGAGGGTTAAGTGACTTGGTCAGCCAGCTACATCTGATGCTTATGTCATTAATAGAATTCAAATTCAGGAAGCCCAGAAATCTAGCCACGGCACCGTACTATCTCTCTTCCTCTGCCTATCTATCATTCACAGTCCATATACAGAAACTAGACAATTTTTTCAGGAGCCCTCCTAACACCAAAATAACAGATAAGAGCTGTCCAAGTGCAAAAGAGGCCTTTGAGTCATGGCATCTGAGCTAAGAGAAGTTAAGTCAAGTCAGTGAACATCTGTTAAACACCTAGCATGTATTCAGCATTGTACTGTCAGAAAAGATGACCAGTTTTTGTAGTGCTTTACCAGCCTTAAAGTGTGGTATCAAAGCTAGCTGTTGACTACCATCATCATCACATCCGGGCAAGAATGTCAAGGGAAGAGGATTTGGTTTTGTTTGGTTTTGTAGGATTACATGCCAGGCGGAGGGATAGTACCCGAAGGGGAGGAAAGGGGCACGTGGAGGAGATGGAGGGGAGGGAAGCTAATGCTCAGCACCACAGTTTGGGAAGGACATTGATGGTGAGTGTCCAGGAGGGCCGCCAGGCTGGTGGAGGGTTTCTAACCTGGACCATGTGAGGGTGGGCTGCAGAGAGAGAGAGAGCATGCTATATCCAGAGAAGGGAAGACTCAGGAGAACATGGTGCCTGCCCTCAAGGACAGGAAAGGTTATGCCAGCAAAGGATAAAACTTGCTCTACTCGGATCCAGAGGGCAGGACCCAGAGCAATCATGGGGGAGGCAGAGAGCTACAAAGAGGCAAGATGTAGGTTTGATGTTGGGAGAACAACTAGACCTCAGCCCACGTGGAATGGGTGGTGGGCTTCCTCTCCCTGGGGGACTTCAAGTCACGGCTGGGGAAAGGATATTTTTTGTGTCAGGCTGGAAGAGACGGCAGCTGAGAAATTCTACCTGTGAAAGTCTGGGATTCTGTGAATTCTGGGCAGGAGAAACCACGGGGCTCCAGCCTAGTTTTCCAGACATATTTTCTGCCATTAAATCATAAGCTCCTTTGGGGTAAGGGCTCTCTTTATTTTTCTCATTTGGATCCCTAGTGCTTGCACCCTTAATAAATGGCTATTGAAATGAATTGAATTACTTGATAGGACTCTGTCACTCCCCTCCTTAAGAACCCTCTGTGGTTCCCTCTTGCTTCTAGGACATTTCATGTGAAGAATCCCACTTACCCAAATAATCATCGAAGGAAAACTTGTCATTATCCCAGATCTGGAATATGACATTGGCAGGCATCCTGCATTCCATCTTGTCCAGACTCCAAAAGTGCTCCTGTAACCCAAGCCAGGGAGGGCAGAAAGGAGAGAGTTAGACATGGACCAGGACATGGCACCTCTAGGTTGGAGAGCTGTGCGAATGAGAGAGGTCTCCAGCAGCATTGGGAAAGAGAGAAGGGAAGCAGTTTGACAGAGGAGAGAAGGAAGGTGGTTCCAGCGCGGAGGCTCTGAGACAGCGGAGGAACGGGGTCCTGGGAAGGGAGTGACCAGGGGCTGCCAAGTGACAAGGGAGGCTCACTCTCCCAACATGCTATAGAAGTAAGGCAGCCTTAGTGCAGGTGATGGAGACTGGACAAACCAGACCAGCCAGCATCGTACGAGGCTGGACCCTTCCCCTACTCTCTGGAAGGAGACAGATGGAACCCAGTCCCAAGCCACCTTCCTTTCCACATTAGAGCCCACCCACGGCAGAGTCACTCCCCCAAAGGGGGCCAAGACTATGGCTAGAAACAACTTTGGAAGAGGAGTTTGGAGAAATCTCCATTCTGCAAGGTGGCCGGATCACTTCTCTGGGCTCATTTCCTCTGGGATTGGACCAGGTGACCTCTGAGATGCTTCCAGCTCCACCATTCCATGACCCCTTAAGCTTCAGACCACCTTGGGCCTGAATAGGACCCCCTCCTTTGAACATCAAAAGACCCCGGCATTTTACTGCATACCTTGTCTCCCTATGTAGAATGGAAACTCTCTGAGGGCAGGAACCATTTCTCTTTTATCTTCGTATCCCTGGGTATACAGCAGGGGCTAAATAAATGCTTGTTGCTTGCTCCTGTGTTATCATTATGACTGTCGCTGCTGTTCAATCATGTTTGACTCTTCATGCCCCATTTGGGGTTTTCTTGGTAAAAATACTAGAGTGGTTTGCTGTTTCCTTCTCCGGCTCACTTTGCAGAGAAGGAATTAGGGCAAACAGGGTGAAGTGACTTGAGCAGGGTCACACAGCTGGTAAGTGTCTGAGGCTAGATTTGAATTCATCACCACCTTAAATGCACCATTGGGCCTATGAGCCCCATTAGCTCAGTGGTTATGGTATGCTGTTGTTAATGGGGTCCATTAGAACTAGTGGCAGCTAGTTCTCTCTCCTCTATGTTCCCCAGCCACAGAGTAACCCCTAAACCTGGCCACAAGCTGATGCAGTAACAACAACTTACTTTTTAAAGTACCTTAATTCACCAATCAGTCAGCATGTATTAAGTGCCTACTGTATGCCAGGCACTGTGCTAGGTGATGGAGGTTTGTGAAATACTTTTCACACTTTATGTGATTTTACCCTCACAACAGACCTTGGAGGCTGGTACACTTCAGTGGGGCAATCATCTCCTTCATGTGGTCACTCACTGCAAGGGTACAGATCACAACCCGTCCGTTTGTTTTCATCCTGCATGAGGCTTGTCTGTGGAGTCCCTCAAATCTTGCACGGGAGGATTACCCATGCTGAGGGCCTTGGTATAATGTCAGCATTATTAACCCTATTTTATGGATGTGGAAACTGAGGCTCAGCTGTTGTCCAGGGTAATCCAGCTACCGTATGTCAGAGGCAGGATTTGAACCAGGGGTTTCTTTCCCTACATCAGGCTGTCTCTCAACCCTGGGATTGGAAGGGTGTTTTACTCCAGCAATAGATTGACCCCCAAACCTCAGACACCAGCTGATCCGTGACCTTGGCTCCAGACTGATTGCTGACAACGACCGAACTCTGGCCTCAGACAGCGCCCTTGGCCTCCCTTCTGGTCATAGCCTCGTCTCTGTCCTCTGCCCTCTGTGCCCAGCTCTCTCCCCTGCCTGGGCCTCAGGCTGGTTGGGGCTCCCTCCTGCAGGTGGTTCCCCTCTCTGGCGTGGGTTTTATGGCCAGCTCAGGCCAGTCTGCACTCTAGCCCCCAGGGCTAGTTTTATGGGGCCAGTAATGAACCAGGAGCTCAGACAGTTCCTGATGGGAGCAGCTGGGATGGGGGGACCCCGCCGAGGGGAATGTGCCCCCGCTTGCCCCAAGCCTGGCGCTTCGCTCATTACCTCTCCCATCCAGAGGCCTTTTACTAGCTGTTTATTGGATTGTGGTGCTGGCAGACATGCGGCCTGGGCAGAGGCAGAGTCTGGACCCAGTGGGTGTGCTGGGCCCCAGGCTGGGGGGAGTGGGGGGCTGCTGGCCAAGGAGGAGGGGCTGGATTTTCAAAGCAAGATCCTAATGCTTTGCCACTGATTCTCGTCTTCCCTAACTGGCCTCCGTGGGACTTGAGTTCATCAGGTGTCTCGTTCTGCCCTCATCAGGCCACATCTGGAGGATGGTGTTCAGCTCTGGGCACCTCATTTTAGGAAGGACGTGGATAAGCTGGAAACTCTCCAGAGGAGGGCAGCCAGGCTGAGGAGGAGGCTCACACCCATATCTCACATACATGCCAAATAAGATGAGTTAGAGTAATGAAGAGAAAACTCAGTCTTCGAGCAGGAACTGGTATCCCCCAAAGCTCTGTCCTGGGCCCCTCTTCTCTTCTCTATTACTTCACTTGGTGATTTCATCAGCCCCCATGGATTCAATTAACACCTCTATATTGATTATTCTCAGATCTGTCTGTCCAGCTCTGACCTCTCTTCTAACCTCTAATCTCACATTTTCTAACTGAATGTCCAAAACAGAACTCATTATCTTTCCCCCTAAAGCCTCCCCTCACCTCCACCTCCTCTATTACTGTAGAGGGTAACACTATACCCCCAGTCCCACAGACTTTCAACCTAGGACTCATCCTGGACTCCTCACCATATCTCTATCCCCATATCCAATATGGTACCAAGGCCCATCAATTCCACCTTTGCAATGCGCTTGTAGATTTCATCTCTCCAGCATCTCTTGTAGATTTCACCTCTATAGCACCTCCCACTGGCAACATTTCTCATCAATTTCACACAGCTGTGCCTTGCAGCTTCTCTCCAATATGCCCCCTTCTCTCTTCTGACACTGCCCACACCCTGGTCCATGCCCTCATCAACTCATGCCTAGATTACTGCAATAGCTGCTGGTGAGTATGCTGCCTCAAGTCTCTCCCCCCTCCAATCCATTCTCTATTCCACTATCAAATTGATCTTGATATTCTCTCTCTCTCCCTCTCTCTCTCTCTCTCTCTCTCTCTCTCTCTCTCTCTCTCTCTCTCTCTCTTTCTCTCTGTCTCTCTGTCTGTCTCTCCCTCTCTGTGTGTCTCTGTGTGTGTCTCTCTGTCTCTGTCTCTGTCACACACACACACACACACACACACACACACACACACATACACAGCACTCTTCCAATGCCTCCCTATTACCTCTAGGATCAAACATAGAATTCTGCATCTGGATTTTAAAGCCCTTCATAACCTGGCCCTCTCTTCCCTCTCAAGTCTCCTCATTTCAACATAGACTCTGTGATCCAGGAACATCAGCCTGCTGGCTGTTTCTCAGACAAAACACTCTGTCTCTCAACTCCAGTCATTTTCACTGGCTATCCCCAATGCCTAAGATTCTCTCTCCTCCTCCTCTTCCTCCTTCTTCTCCACTTCCTATCGGTCTTAGCTTCCTTCAAATCTCATCTAAAATCTCACCTTCTCAGCAATACCACTTCTAGGTCTGTGTCCCAAAGAGATCATAAAAATGGGAAAAGGCCTACGTGTACAAAAATATTTATAGCAGCTCTTTTTGTGGTGGCAAAGAATTGGAAACTGAGGGGATGCCCATCAGTTAGGGAATGGCTGAACAAGCTGTGGTATATGAATATGATGGAATACTATTGTGCTATAAGAAATGATGAGCAGGCAGATTTCAAAAAAACTTGGAAAGATTTACATGAATCGATACAGTGTGAAATGAGCAGAACCAGGAGAACATTGTACATAGCAACAGCCACATTATGGGATGACTGACTTTGATAGATTTGGCTCTTCACAGCAATGCAAGAATCTAAGACAACTACAAAAGATTCTTGATGGAAATTGCTATCCACATCCAGAGAAAGAAATATGGAATCTGAATGCAGATGGAAGCATGCAATTTGCTCTCCCTTTTCTGGGCTGTTTTGTTTTATTGCTTCATTCTTGTGGTTCCTCCCATTAGTTCTAATTATTCTTTACATCATGACTAATGGGAAAATATGCTTAATATGAATGTATATGTAGAGCATATATCGAATCGCACACCATCTCGGGGGTGGGGGGAGAGAAATTGGGAAAATTTAAAACTCAAAATCTTATGGAAGTGGATGTTGAAAACTAAAAATAAATAAATTTTTAAAAATAAGATAAAATCTCACCCTCTCACCGTCTTTCCCTTCCTTAGTCCCTTCCCTCTGTTGACTGTCTCAGCATACCCCAAACCAAACTTCACATCTTTTCTCCAAAACAGCCTGCCTTCCAGACATCCCCATTTTGGTGAGTTGACATTACCATTCTCCCAGCCATCCAGGCTGAAAACCTTGGCTCCCTCTCATCACCCACATCGAATACATGACCATATCTTATTGATTATTTTTTAAATACAAAAATTTTTAAATATATAAAAATAATAAAATAAAAATATGTTAAAAATATAAAAATTTTAAACATAAAAATATGTTTGAGAAAATAAATGTCTATTAATTGAAGTTTTTTTTAAAAAATAAAGTTTGATTGCTATATCTTCTGTTTTGGCACATTCATTTTTGGAAATAGCTCCCTATACCCCCCCATTCAAAATGAACCATCCCTTACGGCATAAAAAAGCATTCTTCTGATATGTTCTCATTTACATTGCTGGATTCACTGTGGATGTTGCTCTCTGGGGTCTGCTTTCTTTCTTTTCTCAACATCATTTCTAGAAATCTCCCTTTCTCTTTCTCTAATTTTTTTTCTTTCTCGCATTTTCTCTCTCACTTTTTTTTGGTCAGGGTCTGCAGAACCCCCAGTGAGAGGACTCCTTCTTCCACCATAGATAAGTTCCTCCTCGGCAACTTAATGTGCTTGAGAACTGCCTTGAGCAGCCCTGAGGTTAAGTGACTTG